GACTTGCAAATATTTTAAGTAGCAGTTATAGGCATTCTCTTAAATTTAGAGACTATCGTGAGTCTTAAACTTAGTTATTATTGAGTAATTTGTCTTATGCAGTTTTTGTGGGTGAGCAGTCTTTGTGGAAATATGTGGATGTGAACCATAAGGTCAGCAGTTCGAAACTACCAGCTGCTCTGCGGGAGAAAGATGAGGCTTTCTACTCCTGTAAGGATTTACACCCTCGGAAACCCTGTACAGGGTCGCTATGGGTCGGAACCGACTCGAAGGCACTTACCAACAACAACAACAACAACAAGAGTACACAAAGGAGCTCTGGTAGCGTAGTGGTTACGAATCAGGCTGCGAACCTTAAGGTCAGCAGTTCAAAACTACCAGCTGCTCCACGGGAGAAAGATCAGGCTTTCTACTCCCATAAGGATTTACACCCTCGGAAACCCTGTACAGGGTCGCTATGGGTCAGAACCGACTCGACGGCACTTAACAACAACAACAACAGATTAGACAAAGGCTTTCAATTGTGTGGATCATGACAAGCTATGGACAACACTATGAAGTATGAGTATTCCAGAACACTTAATTGTGTTTATGAGAAATCTGTACATTGTCCAAGAGGCAGTTGTTCAAACAGAACATGCGAACACTGAATGGTTTAAAATTAAGAAAGGTGTGAGACAGGGCTGTATTCTTTCATCGTACTTATTTAACCTGCATGCTGAGCAAATAATCCGAGAAGCTAGGTTATATGAAGAAAAACATGGCATCAGGATTGGAGAAAAACTCATTAACAACCTGTGATACGCAGATGATATAGCCTTGCTAACCGACTCCATGCCACATAACAACAACAACAGCTGAAAGTGAAGAGGACTTAAAGTATTTACTGATGAAGATTAAAGAGTACAGCCTTCGGTATGGATTGCATCTCAATATAAAGCAAACAAAAATCCTCACCACTGGACCAATAAACAACATTCTTATCAACGGAGAAAAGATTGAAGTTGTCAAGGACTTCATTCTTCTGGATCAACTATCAACACTCATGGAAGTAGCAGTCAAGAAATCAAACAACATATTGCATTGGGCAAATCTGCTGCGCAAGACCTTTTTAGAGTGTTGAAGAGCAAAGATGTGAGCTTGAAGACTAAGGTGCGCCTGACCCAAGCCATTGTGTTTTCAATAACCTCATATGCATGCGAAAGCTGGACACTGAATAAGGAAGACCATACATTTTGAGTTATGGTGTTGGAGGAGAATATTGACAGTGCCATGGGCTGCCAAAAGAACCAACAGATCTGTGTTGCAAGAAGTGCAGCCAGAGTGCTCCTTAGAGGCCAAGATGGCCAAACTTCGTCTCTTATACTTTGGACATATTGTAAGGAGGGACCAGTCCCTGGAGAAGGATATCATGTTTGGTAAGGTGGAGGGCCAGAGAAAAAGAGGAAGACCCCCAGTGAGATGGATTGGCAAAGTGGCAGCATCAATGGGCTCAAGTGTGGCAACAATAGTGAGGTTGGCACAGGATTGGGCAGTGTTTCGTTCTGCTGTGCGTAAAGTTGCTATGAGTTGGTACAGACTTGATGGCACTTAACAACAACAACAACAATTAGAGTTCTGGTGTGATGTTGTAGAATAAGCACTAGACTGCTAACCATAAAGCTTGGTGGTTTAAAACCACCAATTGTTCCTGGGAAGCCCTATACAGGGTCATGAGTCTGAACTGACTCAATGACACTTATCAACAACAGCAGAGACGAAAACCAATATGCTGGTGTTTATCTCCAATCACACATGGCACATAATTATCTTGACAGTTTTCCTTTTATATCTTGAGGTTTCTGAGGTCCTGGTGTGGCATTGTAGGGTAATTACCAGACTGCTAACTGTATGGTTTACTATTCAAGTCCATCAGCTACTTGCTCCTCAGAAACCCTATACAGGGTTGCTATGAATTAGAACCAACTCTACAACACTTAACAACAACTTTTTTGAGATTTTCAGTTCCATCTAAGAATTATCCACAGAGAAACTGAGGTTACGTTTATCTACAGAGGAAAGAAGATGCAAACAACAAGCACCCATGTAGAACTTGCCCAGCGAAATAGGCTTCTTGTGGAGCCTTTACAAAGTGTAGAAACTTAGGTGGAATCTTGAGCCCCATCCAGGACCTTCTGAGGTGGGACATTCCCACTAGAAAGGACAAACAGACCAGCCTGGAACAGCTATTACAACAGAAAATATACCTTCAAAGGAAGATCAGAAGAAAAATATCCTAAACAAAAATGGCAGTATGATTGACTACTACAAGAACAAGCAAGTCGTTCACCAGGGAGCCATCAAGGAAAGCAATCAAGTCCCATCAGGACAAACCCCTCTCCAAGATTGAAATTCAAAGGGAACCTGAGCAGACCTGCAAGCTTGCTGGTGAACACGCTGGTCTACTAATTACTAGAAGGGGGGAAAGACAACAATAAAGAAATGGGCTGAATTCAACCATGTTCCATAGAATCCTGTTGACCTGGAGATGAGAGAGAAAAGAGGAAGGGCTGGTTGGTCTGATGTGCAGTGAGACCTGGGAACTCTTGAGCCCATGAACAAGGACATAACCATGGAGGACTAGAGCTGAGAGTGAAGCATCCAGCTGATAAGAAGTGAGGGGAGATGAACAAAAATGCCCAAACTTGCAGATAGTACTCATGTGACCTAGTCTCAATGGCTTGATAATCATAACTCAACTAGAGGAAGATAAAAAAATCATAATTTTTTTGATAAAGGAAATAAGTGTAAATTGCTACAATTTGATGAACTTGACCTATACTTACAGCTGTAATAGCTCAAAATACCAACTTAGAGGGAAGGAATCTTCACATCAAATATCAATCTTATTAACCCCTCTGTATACAGGATCAATAGGGATGGGAAACTTAGACACTGGCTACTTAGAATGAGAGGGCAATAAAGGCACAGTGACTAGCTTACAAGTTTTCAAGAGGGAGTTTAGTTTAAGAGTGTGTTGGGGACAGTAGAGTCCTCACTGAATAGTTTTTGTCTTGTCTGGATGGGTCTGGTAAAAAGAGATGGGGATAAGATTCTTATGATTTAATAGTGAGTAGTTGTTATCATTACTAACCATGACTGTCACAACTATAAAGGTAGAAGGTATTTTTAAACAAAAAAAGGGGAAGTGGTTAATCTTACAGTCTAGAAACTGAGGGCCCTAGG